GAGAGAGAGAGAGAGCAAGAGTTATATGATATAACAAACTGCATGTGTTTTTTGTGCGAGTCAATACTTGTAAATACATTTTATATGGAACACTTTTTTTTCTCTAAAGATTCTTATACCAGGCGTTCAATACACATAGTGCCGCGATTAGAAAAAAAGAATGGACATACTTTAAAAATCGATATTGCCCCAGCTGTAAACCTTTTAAAATCTGTAGAAACCACCCACTGAGATTTTTGTAAAGTATTAATCAAGGAAATTTGTAGAATACAGCTTACAGGTGTTTACAAAAATATCAATCTGTTAAGACAAATTGATACTAGTCATTGTGCAAAAACTGGAGAGTTTATGTTCAATTGTTGAGGAAATGTTTGACAATAAGCTGGGCCACGAATATTTGACCACATTAATGTGTACGGAAAAGTAAGATATACCACCAAAAAAAAAAAAAAAAAGTCAGAGCGAAAGAAAAAGACAAAGAAAATATATAGAACTTTCCAGTGGTGCCCTCCTAACCCCCTTCCCCAACCCATCCAGCGTGTGCGGGAATAAAACAGAATTCATTCATATCCAAGCATCTAAAAATAAAGAAGGGGGATTTTAAATTCACAGGAGTTCCGTCTTTGTGTTTCCCTGATTCGTGTAACAGCGTGCGTTTGGAAGTCCTCTCGCCCATAAAACTCGACGACAGTCATAATTTAACAATTCAAGGGACATGAATATGGGGAAGCGTGTGAGGCGAGAAACATGGCGACTACCTCCCTTTGAGAACCTTCAAAGCGTGATGGGTCACACTGAGGCGCGTTTTTGGCGAATAGTCATAGGATGCTTATAATATTATTGATATGACAGTTTCCGTTTTTACCAACATGCTCCCATAAACTGTGGTATTTTTGTGGCTGGTCAAGATTCTCCCATGATACGGCCAGTGTGCTCCTTGTTTGAGGCTTGTATCGTTGTCTGTGTAGGATAGATAGATAGATAGATAGACAGATAGATAGATAGATAGATAGATAGATAGATAGATAGATAGATAGATACATACATAGATAGATAGATAGATAGATAGATAAAAGGCAGAGTGACACAGGGAGAAACAGAGCGAGACAGAGAGTAAGGAGAGAGTGAAGGAGAGAGAGAGAGAACGAGATAGAGATAGAGAGGGAGAGAAAGAAAAGAGAGAGAGAGACAAACAGACAGGTAGACAGAAAGACAGACAGACAAGCAGACAGACACGGAGATTAAAAAAAGACAGACAACTGGATAGAGAGATAAAAAAATTGGTAGACAGATATATAGATAGACAGATAGATAGACAGACAGACAGAGAGACAGACAAACAGAGAGAGCGAGCGAGAGAGATTGCCAGAGAGAGAGGGGGAGAGAGAGAGAGAGAGAGAGAGAGAGAGAGAGAGAGAGAGAGAGAGAGACGTGATCGTAAATATTGTTCTATACTGGTATGTATAGAACAACTGTTTGGTTCTTCGTTGTGCAAACAGAGGCACGGTATTTAAATCCCACGATATAAATTTCATACCGTATCTGCATATTATTATTTTTCTTGCGCTGTGACATTATTTCTCAAAGTGTACACGCTGGGATCGACATCTACTATAATGCATAAATGATGTATATAGTGTTAAATGGGGAATGAGCGTTTACACTGTTTCTCTTACCATACGCTTCGTTATGTCTTTAACTTTAACATACACAAATGATTTCTATATTTTAAAAAAATTGTGTCATAACGCAATGTTCTTTTTAAACCCCAAGCGCACAGTACATGAAACTTTTACTTCGAGTAGTCTTGTCGTGCCAACATCTGTTAGGTCGTGGTTAGGCTGTTCGGTGATACTTTCAGAAGACATGAGGTGAACTCCGTGTGTGGGGATGCTTTTTTTCTCTTTAACATCTCCGCTCGTCTGATGGGGAGTTGTATCCCTCTCAGCCCAGGGTCGGAGCATTTGCCTCCTAAATAATCAGCCTCTCGTTTATGATGGGGTTGAATGGTTGGTCAAATTAATTTGAACCCCCCCCCCCTCCTTTCCAAATTTTCAAAGGTATCTTTCGGGAATGATGCCAAGGCGACCCGAAAGTGGCCAAACGGAGAGTGGATAAAATGTTTACTAGGTCAAAAAAGTTCTGAAAGGGGGTGCAAGTTTGCTTTCACCTAATATTTACACCTGATTGACAGCAGTCTCTGTTTTGTCCCCAGAAACTTTCCAGTGAATTCTCTTCTAGACCACCTGTCGAGAGTGCCACTTGACATACCGTTCGGACCCCAGCCAGACTTTGGTCCCTCTCCCGGACCCTTCATCGATACGTCATTTCCGGGTAGTCGCCCGTCTAGGCCCGGTACGTCTGAAGATATTTCTTCGGCCTCCTCTAGGCTTATACATGTTATAATACTAATAATACTAACACAGTAGTAGTAGTAATAGTAGTAGTAGTATTAGTAGTAGCAGCAGCAGCAGTAGTAGTAGTAGTAGTAGTAGTAGTAGTAGTAGTAGTAGTAGTAGTAGTAGTAGTAGTAG